AGCGCCACTTCCGGCTTTTTTCTTTTTGCTTATGTGGGGCTGAGGAATCGAACCCAGGGCCTCATGCATGCAAGGCAAGCGCTCTACCACCGAGCCACCTTCCCAGCCCTCATTTTTAATCTTGACAGATGTCAAGTCCATGTGGTGGTGGAGGGAGTGGGGGAGACAGATTTTTGACACCTCTTAATCACTGAAGTGATTCAATGTATTTTGGGGGAGATTCTAAACTTGACACTTCTGCATTGATGAATGTGTTCAGATACATTAGCTGACGAGGCTGAAACTAACAAATCTAGATGATTATAAAAAATCCTTTGCAAAATAAAATTCTGGTTGCAATCCTGCATTTATGAACTATTCATTCAAACTGTTTATTCTTTTGATTTCTGTGGCCTTTTCCTCCTTTTTCATTTCAGTTCTAAGATTCCAAAGGACTTGGTATTTCTGTAAGAACTTTAGCTCCATAAGTTCATTCATTCTTTCAGTGAGTTAATTTATTAACCCTGTGCCAATGAAATATAAAAGCAAACCTGAAATATAGTCTCCTTGTTCTTCCTCTGAATCAGTTATTGTGTAAGCCCTTTAATGAAATTTCTTTGGTCACTTCGCAGTTTTGCACCCCTCCATTTAAAGGTGAAGAAGGACAGGAGAGTCAGACTGGGCGTGAGCTCATGTGAAGACTCCTAGGAGAGGCTCTTCTGGGTTGAGCTTCGGAATGGAAATCAGGAGACTTTACTGTAGGCTGTTTTAAAATGTCTTAAGACAACCAAGGAATTTAAAGAAACTAGACCAAAGAAAAATAATCACAAGCCTGGCGCTGGTGGCTCACACCTGTAATCCTAGCTACTCAGGAGGCTGAGATCTGAGGATCATGGTTCAAAGCCAGCCCAGGCAGGAGACTCTTATCTCCAATAAATCACTAGAAAACCAGAAGTGGTGCTGTAGCTCAAGCGGTAGAGCACTCGCCTGGAGCTGAAGAGCACAGGAACAGTGCCCAAGCCCAGAGTTCAAGCCCCACGACCGACCAAAACAAAAAATAATAATCACACTTCACTGGAGGTATTTCCTTTGCATTGGTTTCTAGGTGACCTGGAAGTGACTGAGTATAGTTAGGGAGGAGGATTATAGTGTTCCCAGATTTATGCCAGAACTTACCAGCTGTGCAAATTATGATTGGTATAGATGCCTCTGATTTCTGTTTTGCTGTGCTTATGAATTTTAGTGGACTTACCATGGTGGTTCGAAATTTCAGATTAGCTGATCTGGCTGCATTGTTTTTATTCAATGAGGAGAGTAGTCTTCTGCCCAGCAACAGAAGTCACAGGCATGGCACGGGAAGTCATTTCTCTTGGGGCCAGAAACAAGCTCTTCTGCCCTCCAAATGCTTATTACTAAGTGTCAAGGTGAATTAAGAATTAATAAACATCCTCAGTGCAAAGCGTGCTGCTTGAAGGAATGATTTTATGTAGGAAAGTAATTGAGTGTGAGTAAATGTGTGCTCTCGGATTTCCTCATGTTGTGTATAACTGGTCTGTATCATTTCTGTTACTTCCAGTTTTGTCTCCTGGTATGCAGTGTGTGTACTTTTTTTACAATCTTGGGAAGTTATATTCCTGGGGTTATACTCAGCTATCTATTGTGTAAGTATCAAAGGACATTTTTTTTTGCTCACTTGGACGATATGTGTGGCATTAGTATACCTACTATAGTTTGGAAAGGAACAAATGAGTTTCTGTGTTATAAAATAATCTCATTCTTTTAACATCTTGATGCACAAAATTTCTTTCCTAGAGATATCTTTTTATTTTGAAATTAGAAAAAAGGTTGCAAAATGAAGGATAAGTAAATAAGTAAGTTAGGTTAAATTATGCCAACAAAAATTTAAATAGTAGGGTAACAGTGGCTCATGGCTGTAGGCTCCTAGCTACTCAGGAAGCTGAGATCTGAGGATTGCGGTTCAAAGTCTGCTCAGACAGAAAAGTCCCTTGAGACTCTTATCTCCAATTAACCATTCAAAAACCAGAAGTGACACTGTGGTTCAAAGTGATAGAGTGTTAGCCTTGAGCAAAAGAGCTTGGGGACAGTGCCCAGGTCTGAGCTCAAGCCCCACAACCGACCAAAAAATAAACAAACTATATATCCCATTCTCTACAAGTACACTAGCACTTTTTCTTTTAGACATATACTGTGGTTCTATGAGAATAATATATCATATACAATAATATATCATTGACTTCTACCATTATGGCTAAAATAAAAAATATTGATCATACCAAGTACTAGGAAGAATATGGAGCAGGCAAAATTCTTTCGTAATGTTGATGGGTAAGGTACCAATGTAAAGTCATTTTGGAAAACAGGATGGCAGTTTGTTGTTTTGTTGGTCATGGGCTTGAACTCAGGGCCTGGGTGCTGTTCCTGAGCTGTTTTGCTCAAGGTTATTGCCCTATCACTTTGAGCCACAGCTCTATTTCTGGTTTTCTGGTGGTTAATTGGAGATGAGTCTCAAGGACTTTTCTGACAGAGGTGGCTTCAATCTGTGATCCTCAGATCTCAGTTTCCTGAGTAGCTAGGATTACAGCCTAGTGAGCCACTGGTACCCAGTTCAGAATGGCAGTTTTTATTATATGCCTAGCCATCCCACAGCTAAGTATTTATGTAAGACAAATGGAAGCACACTTTGAATAAAATTCTTTATGTAGAAATGTTCACAGCATGGAGGGAGTATGGGAAGGGAAAAAAAAAAAGAAATGTTCACAGCAGATTTTTCCGTGGCCCAAAGTAAAATGTAACCCACATGATCTTAATTAATGAGAGCAAATTAACTGTGGTATATTTATATAATAATTACTACTAAAATTGATTTGCAACATTATAGATTTTAAAGTAACTAGTCTGAGTGAGAGAAGCCAGTAAAAGTCTATGCTCTAGGAGTCTATTTATATATAATACTAGAAAAGTCAAAGTAATCTTTATGACAGTCATGTCAGCTGTTGGCTGGGATGAACCAGGTGGAGGCAGCAGTTCAATAGAATGTGAGAGCACTTTTGGGGACCTGAGATTTGTTTGCTCTCAACTGTGCTGCTAGTTTCTGGCAGGGTGGATAAGTCAAGCTCTAGCAAAATCTACACTTCGTGTACTATGTGTCAATTATAACTCAGATATTCTACCAAGATGTATAGAATTTCTCTTGTTCCCAAAAAACCACGAAGATCTAGCACTATCACTTATGATGGGGCACATACGCTCGTATTCTCTCCTTGGCTAACTTTTATTTCCTTTTTTTTTTTTTTACCCTGGCTTTTCAAATTCACATTTTGCCTCAGAAGAAACTTGAGATTGCAACTCCTATATTAAAAGATAGTAGGGCACATTTCTAACAGTAATAAACAAATTCTACAGAGTACAATATTGCTAGGTGACATTCATTTTTTTTGTACTTCTTATACATAACACAAATGACAAATGCTTGGAGCTCAAATCAAGCTTCCCAGTAGAACCCATATCCGGTATTAGCTTGTGGGGGTGCGGATAGAGCTCAACAGTAGAACGCTTGCTCAGCATGTATAGGGTCCTGGGTTCTAGACCCAGAATTGCTAAAAAGAAAAAAAAAAGAGATAGCATCCTGATCTGCACTGTCTAAAAGATGGGGAAGAAGAAAGTGCTGAGAAAGGAGAATTATGAGCAAGCATTTTCAGGTGGTCACATTTACTCCAAGCAATAATATTATTCCAGTATTTCTGATGAGAGGCTGATAGTGATTTTCCCACAGTAAAATGGTATTGAATAAACAATGGTGAGAGTTTAATTCAGGACAGTCACCTAGACAGTATGCACTATCACCTTTCTATAAGTTTTAGGGTAGAAGTACAGAGGGAAAAAGCTGATCTAATTACAGGTCTAAAAACAATGGGCATGAGTGTGTGTAGTAGTAGTAAAACATGTTTCTATTACAAAGGAAGAGTAGAAATTAAGCACTTTTTCATAGAGGCATCTTAAGAAAAACCTTTTATTTTTCCATGGTTTAGAAAATCATATTTTGTGAGCTGTTAGGATGTAAGCATTTGGAAACAAAGGGTATTTCACCTGTACTCTCTTCTTGTATTCCAGTACTGTTTGCATTTTTGTGTCCACTGTTCAAATGTAATGACATTGGACAAAAAATATACAGCAAAATCAAGTCAGTTCTGTTGAAACTAGACTTTGGAATTGGAGAATATATTAATCAGAAGAAACGTGAAAGATCTGGTATGTAATGTGTGAATTTTAGTTTCTATGGATTAGACATTGGCAGGCTGTTTATTATGTGATCATTGTTAAAAGGATTTCAGGGTGGATTTTGTCTTTTGCTAAATACTTTAAAGAATACCCTTCTCCCCCCTCCCCAATCTAATATATCTAGCCTTTCCAACTTGGGATTGTATTCTTTTCTAAAAAACACTAATAAATTGACTTTTCAATCAAAATAGTCAAGGGAGGGAGAAAAGGTTTCAACCACTTTGTATTTTGCTATTCATGATTTATTTTATTTTGGATGGGACAGCTAAAGATAAACATTGCCAAAGGTAGAGATCACACATGGGAGCCCCATAAGTCAGGAGTGAAATAATTGGAAGGAAAGGGAAACACATAGAAAAAGTGATCATTTTTTACCTGTTAACTTGACCTATGACCCAGTATGTCATCTAGAGGATGCAGCAGAATTCCCTGACAGGTTTATGAAAGCATAGAATGTGGTCTTACAAAATTTCTGGCTTAGTGGAACCTGAGACTGCACAGCTAGCAAGTTCCTAGGAATGATGGTTAAATGTAGACCATCACCTATTTTGCACATACGTGAAGCTTCTTGAATGCAAACACTTAATTATAGGGAGGTATTGGAGAGTATAGGGAAATTGAGTAAGAATTTATCGTAAAATACATATACTTTGTTCAAGCTTGTCAGGAAAGTGAAAACTTCCATTTTTTTCCTCAACAGAAGCAGATAAAGATAAAAGTCACAAAGATGATAGTGAACTTGATTTTTCAGCTCTTTGTCCTAAGGTATGTTCTGTTTGTTTAGTTTAGTTTGTTTCTGCATGGTTTGATTGTACATTTTTTTTACCTGAAGCAAAATGTATTTTTTGTTGTTGTTGTTGGTTGTGGGGCCTGAACCCTGGGCCTGCGCCCTGTCCCTCAGATCTTCAGCTCAAGACTAGCACTCTAGACTAGCCACAGCGCCACTTCCGGCTTTTTCTGCTTATGTGGTGCTGAGGAATCAAACCCAGGGCCTCATGCATGCAAGGCAAGCACTCTACCACTGAGCCACCTTCCCAACCCCGAAATATATATTTTTTCTAATAAACTGTTTTTTGTTGTTGTTGTTGTTGGTTGTGGAGCTTGAACTCTGGGCCTGGGTGCTGTCCCTGAGTGCTGTACCACTTGAGCCACAGTGCCACTTCCAGTTTTCTGGTGGTTTATTGGAGATGAGAGTCTCACAGATTTTCCTGCCCGGGCTGGCTTTGAAGTGTGATCCCCTGATCTCAGCCTCCTGAATAGCAGATTATAGGTGTGAGCCACTGGCACTCAGCTACAAACTCCTATTTTATAAGATGACTGGATAATCTCAAAGGAAAATGCATCTGTCTTTACCTTAGGGGTTAATGGGGATTATTCACAATACTTGCATCTGTTTATAATGTATCACTGGGATTTATGTTAACACAGATTAGCCTCACAGTTGCTGCCAAAGAGTTATCTGTGTCTGACACAGATGTCTCAGAAGTGTCCTGGACTGAAAATGGGACCTTCAACCTTTCCGGGGGATACACTCCGCAGACAGACACTTCTGATGGTATACCTCTTTTTATTAGTATTAAGTACATGCAAACATATTCACTATCAACAAATGAGTGGATAACTGAGAGGTGGTATGTATTATTAATGTATTATTATTTAGCTATAAAAATGAATGAGGTATACATACTTGCCTACAGCATGGATGAACCTTGAAAACTTTATGCTAAGAGAAAGAAGCCAGACACAAATGGCTACATATTGTATAATTCCATGTCTATGAACTGTCCAGAATAGCAAATCCACAGGGAGGGAAGTGAGTCAGTGGTAGCTAGGAGTTAGAAGGAGGGGATGGCAATTGTTAATTGGACCAACTTTCTTCTTGGAATTCATAAACATGTTGTAGAATATGCAGTAATGGTTGTACAGATTTGTATATATACCGAAGCCCAATGACTTGTATACTTAGAAGGGTCCAATAAATGGTTAAAAAGATCCATAATAAATGGTTAAATAGATTCAAGTGGACTCGGGATGAGATGAATACCAAGGCTGCATGGTGAGGTGGGCTCAAAGTCAGATTTCCCATAGTTCTTGGTTCTAATTTGTTATGATGCTTACCCATGAACTTTTGTTATACATTTCACAGATCTTGATCGGCCTGGTGAAGAAGTTTTCTCCCGAGATCTCTCTGATTTTCCATCCCTAGAAAATGGCATGGGAACAAATGATGAAGACGAGTTAAGCCTCAGCTTGCCTGCTGAACTCCAGAGAAAAAAGGAACAGTTGGATGGTGGTCACAGAGCATGTCAAGAGAGGCCATCAGCAGCTGGCCTCAGCCTCCCTCTGAACAGTGACCAAGCCTATCGCTTGATGGGTGACCTGGCTGGGGAAGTCATCACAGCCGCAGTGTCTGCTGCTATCAAAGACCAATTAGAAGGCACCCAGCAGGCACTGGCTCACGCTGCCTTCAGCCCAGGAGAGGACACAGACACTGAAGAAGGTGATGACTTCGAACTGCTTGACCAGGAAGAGCTGGATCAAATTGAGAGTGAACTGGGACTTGCACGAGAGCAGGAGGCAGAGGCGCAGCAAAGTAAGAAGTCTTCAGGCTTCCTTTCAAATCTTCTGGGAGGTCATTAAACCAGGAATTAGCTTACAACAGAATACAGACGAATCACCAAACATCTCAGACAAGCAAAAAAGGAAAAGGAAAAAAAAAAGGGAAAAAAAGGAAAAAATACAAACTGTAAGCTTTTAATGATTAGATTTTTTTTTGTTTTCCCTTCTGCAGTGAATTGGATATATATCAACTGATACTGGTAGACTGGTTATTTCTGATAGTTATTTTTATGTAATAAGCATGGAAATGAACTTTATATATGCATATATACATTCTGTGGTGTCAGAGATGAATACATGGGGTTGTTTGTAAAGAAAATTGAAACAAACAAAAACCCACCAGATTACTAAGATCCTTCTGTAGGCATTATTTTTTCTTTATAATTAATTTTCAAGCATGTAAAAATTTATTGTAACTAAGTGAAAAATATTGTGAAGACATGCTCTATCAATGACCCTTCTTCCTAAAACTTGGCAACAGTTTTAAGACTTTGATGTTAAAAAAAGCTCAATTATCAAAGTGTCTTTAGTTGAAGGTGTTGGGAAATAATCACAATTAATTTCCTAGGAAAAAATTAAAAAATATAAGTATTCTGGATAGGCAGAAACATTTCCATGTTATTTCTGTGGTTATAGACAGGTACACTTATAAAGTGGCATGCTCCATTGACAGCCACCTCTAGTCCAGCAATGGTGGTGTTAAGTATGTATCACATAGAGGGTGGTTATGATGTAACAAATTTGGTTGTTCAATAGCTCATTTCTGTCATATGTTTGCAACAGGGGTGTTGCGGGTACAGATCCCTTGTGTCCATTCAGACTTGTTATACTTTCATTTTTTACATTGTGTCATGGAAAAAGTCTCCTAAAATTGTGAAAGTAGTTATTGATATGTCTCCTGTGAGTGATGTGGTTATCAGCAATAAAGAAATAAGAACTCTGTTCTCTTAGTCTGCATAGATAAAAGAGAGGAACTTGCTTGGCTTTAGAGTGTATTTATTTGCCATTGAAGTATATATACTGTTTCTTATTGGGAAGGTAGAATATATTTTTTTCCTTTAAACATTTTTTCAAAATCACTTTTAAATAATCAAAGCTGAAATCAAGGTAGTTTTGTTTTGTATTTATAATTAAAATTTTAAGTAGTGTTGAGAGACCATTTCAGCAACTATCCCAAATCTCTTAAATCTTCATTTGTAGCTGGCATTTGTCAGATAAACATAGACATGAAACCATAAGATAGGCATGTAGGAAATCTGTGTTCACATCTTTTGGTTTATCCCTTTCTTCTATGTCTAAGATAATCTGACATTTTAATGTAACATCTCTTATTTACTTTTTCTTTCGAGGTATTAAATATCTAGACTGAATTTTGCCAAGTGTTAACAGGAGGAAAGTTACTGTAGACTGAACACAAAGGTTTCTGTGACTGATAGAATATGTCATTAGTGCCTCATGACTGTGTGATATCCTTCATTGACACAAAGTGAGCCTATGCCTTCATTTTCGTGCCCATTTTGGTACAAATGTAAACTCCTGTTAGGAAATCTTGGAACTGTGTGGGGTTTGGAAGAATATATGTGAGTTCTATTCAACAAGTTTCTGGACATGAAGAAAAATACAGTTACATATTCACAAAATAGCTGTTACCAGTATTCTTTTTTATATGTATGCATTTTCATTTATAAAATACTCTTGGACATGAAGTAAAAAAAGTTTAAAGGGCATTTCCATTTCCTCACTGAGAAGATAACAAAAATTTAAATAAATAATGAATATTTTATAAGTTTTTTGGGCAAACTTCTAAGGAGATAAACGCTAGGGCTGTTAATATTTAACGGCATGAATAAGACTACAAATTAAAGACAGTTTGCATATCAGTGGTTGGTAGGATAAAAAAAAGAGTCATCAATGTAGAAAAAAATACCATCTCTCCATGAAGGTAACATTATAATAACTATATATCCTTTTGATAGTCTTTATATAAGAATATGTGGTTATTATTCCATATTCAAAACCTTTCATTGAAACCTATGGATGTGGAGGCTTTTGTGTGTGTGTTTGAACGGGGGCATTATTTTCAGTTTTACAATATAGTAGCCAATAAACCATGTGAATGATCTACAGTCAAGGCCTACACAGCTTTACCATGCAGATGTAAATAGCAGTATTTCCCTAATATGTAAGAAAAAAAACCTGAAAAAACAATGTCTTATAATCCTAGTTACTCAGGAAGGGGAAACAGTAAGATTGTGGCATATAGCTAGCTTGGGCAAAAAGCATCAAATTCTATCTTTAAAAACTAAGATAGGGCTAGAGGCATGGCTGAAGTGGTACTTCCTGGACTTAATTCCCAGCAACATACACACACACATACACATACACACACACACACACACACACATGCTTGTACACGCTTTGTAAAGACTTAAGTGGAAGATAGTCATTAAAATATGAATCATATTTTTTCTTTAAAATTGTAGAGGAGCTGTGGAAAAGTTTTACTCATTTCCTTTAGAGAGTGCTGAGAAAAACCATATAATGGGAATAGCATAAAGATAGTATATGTTTTGATACAATAAAGCAGTCTTCAAGAAGTTGGAGTTTGCTTTGGAAGTTTAATCTAGGCTTGGGTATTTCTTGCTCTAAAAATCATCCAACATGATGTAAAACAAACTAAAACAAAACCACTCTCCAACAATGATAAGATTTTGCATTCTACTCATATTTAAATAAGTATAACTTTCTTCTTAAAAATTAGCAAATGTCATCATGATAATTATCTTAGGCTGAAGCAAATCCACCCAAGTTGTAAGAAAAAAACTTAAATGTACTTTTTTTGTTTAAACAAGATTAGTATGTTGCTTATATTGTTCTAGCTGTTAGTTGCTAGAAAATTTATGTAAAAAAACCCTTAATGAAGTACTGTTGTCAAAGATCACTTGCATTATAATAGTTATAATGCCTCAACTATCTTATTGTATATCATTCCTCCCTTTTTACTGTTAGAACACAATTAGAAATACAGGCTCTGGTTCCGTTATTAGTATCATAACCCTACTACCCAATGATAGAAGTCATATACAATCTACAAGCCACTGCCCGCTTATAGGAACATTGTAATGTTCTTTTTAATGGATCTAGTGCTGTATTGGTCTCATAGTCCAATAAATGCCTTTGGAATAAATGGATGGAAAATAGTGCAAAGATGTCAGTTAAACTTGGGACCATGTGAAAGGTTCTAGGCTTTTTTTTTTTTGCACTAGTAGGATTTGGATTTAGGGCTTTCATCTTTGTTAGGCAGTTTTCTTACTGCTTGGTCATGCTTCTAGTCCTACACTAATCATTTTTAATGCTTCTAACACTACTCTGGGGCTCTGGGACAGTAGCCTAATAACTCTACTTGTTTCATCTACAAAATGAAGACAAAATAGCTCCTACCTCATAGGACATGGCAAGGACTTCCTGTCTTAAGGTTGGCATGGACCTATGGACCAAATCCAGTCTGCTACATATATGGGCTACTATCAGGAATGATTTTATATTTTTAAATTAAAAAACCAACAGAAGATTACTTTGTGACTGTGAAAGCTATATCAAAACAGATACCCATAATAAAGATGGATGAGAACACAGCCATGTTCATTCTTCTATGTATTATCATGACTGTTTTTATACTATAAAAGTAATCTTGAATAGCTTCAATAAAGACGAGAATGGCCTACAAAGCCTACATTATTTACTAGTTGGCCCTTTAATGGGAAAAGTTTGGTAAACACTGAAAAGTATGCTAAGACAGGAAACTGCTCTTCTAATGGAATAGTGTGCTAATGGTTACATTCACTTACAATTTAATTCACCCTAATTCTCATAACCTTACAATTTGTGGTGATTTGTTGTATTTCCTGTGGCTATAACAGGACTCCTGACGCTAAACAGTTTACAAGTAAGAGGTTGATTTAGGAGGGTTCTGGATTCTGTGGCCCCAGCATCTGCCCAGATACTGGTGAAGCCATATCATCAATGTGTGGAAGATGGAAATGGAAGTAGGTAGGTGTGCAAGAGAGGTCATGTGTGAAGGACAGAAAAGGAGGGACAAAGGCCTGGTGGTAACCAATCACAAGTCCCAGTTTCTTGATATAGTAATCCATTCATGAGGGTGCCCTATGATCTAGTTACCTTTTAAAGGTCCAACCAACTCTGAACACAGCTAAATCGGTTCCTAAGGTGGTAGCCTATGAAACTTGAAGGATGGACCATGTACAAACAATATCAAGTGGGAATTAAGAGCATCTGGATAGAGAGTGGTAAATTGTCCACAGCCTACATTGCTAGAAAGGAGAAAAACTAGCCTGAGCCCACGCCTATATTCTTGTTCATTGGAAAGTTATTGTGGTCCTGGACACAAATACCCTTTTGAACAACAAAAGTAGAGAATCTATGGAAAGTTCAAAGATGCTGAAGCAGGAGGATCACGAAAATAGACTGGAGGAGGCAGGGAATAAATAGTAGTAACCTTGAACAGCAGAGGCTTGAAAAACCATGTAAGAACATGGTAGGAAAAAGTAAAACAGTAAGTTCTGTATATAGCAATTTTCTGCTTTAATTTTGTTTTATTCCAAGTGATGATTTAGTATAATCTACATTTCTGAAAATGGGTATCTGTTCGGAGAGCTCAGTTTTTTCAAAAGACTTGATAATCTCAAAATCATTCTTTTGGAATAAAAAATCACCATCAAATTTAACTTTTAACACTGCATTATTGTCCATTTCACAAATATTTGTATTTATATGTTGACACTGATCTAGCACTGTAGTATACAGACCAAAAGGAATGCCTACTCAATACAGTTTATATTTTAGATGCTTGTGAGTGACCATGTTATGTTAGTCATTGATTAGCCCAAGATGGCAGTGTTTTCTGGGATGCATGATTTCCAGTACTGACACTGGGAAATTAGTAGAGGCTAGTAGTAGCCAATTTCTCAAAATGGAGACTGGATACCACATGGCCTCACTCCCTTCATGCCCTAACACTAAATAAGATTGACCTGTGGAACTAACTGGTTTCCATGACTGGGTTTTAACAAGATATCATGGTTCTATTCAGTTCTAAGACGAAGCCAATTGCCATGTTATGACACTGGAGCAACTGTAGGGAGAGATTTGCTTGAGAGGAGAACCTCTTACTATCAACTATGTAAACTAACCATTTTTGTTCTTTTACTTGGAGTATTGGGGTTTGAAATCAAGACCGCAAGTTTGCTAGGCAGGAGCAAACAGACATCAGATGGAGTCTCATGTTTTTGCCCAGAACTGTTCTAAGATTATGATCCTGTTAGCTACACTCTCCTCTGGGATTACAGAAGTGCTTTATTTACCATGCCCAGTTTATTGAGATAGGATCTCACTTTTTCCCTGGGACTGGTCTTTAACTTCAATCTTTAACTACAGCTTGTGTAGTTGGGCTTACAGGTATAAGCCACAGTGACCAGCCCTTAAATGAGACTTTTTTTTTTCATGAGGCTGCTCATCATGTTGAAATACTCAAGCCTTCATATGACTTCTATTCTGGATACAGATTTGCCACAACCTCATGAGACTGAAGCAGAACTACACTACCCAGCTACACTACCATTAAATGCCTGATTTACAGAAACTGAAAGTTTGAGGCTAAATTCTGTTGTAATTCAATATAGAATATTAGGTAGCAGTGTTATTACAGAGAAAAGTTATTCTGGTTAAGGGCTTGTAAATTGGGGGTAGACACTATTTTTGAAACCTCTCTTGTAAAAGACCTTTGAGCAGAAACCTAAAATGACCACAGCCAGCAAAAAAATATTCAGATTGACGCCTACATTGCCGTATTAGAAGAAGATTGAGAATGTGTCTGTGACTTCAAATAGGATGAACAAGATGGAAGGGAAAAAGGTAGCCTATCAGAGGTAGAGTGCATCCAGGGGCAATTCCTGTTAGGCAACCTTAAACTATAAAAGGAAAATGTTTAGGTCTGGGAAGGTGGCTCAGTGGTAGAGCATTTGCCTTGCATGCTCAAGGCCCTGGGTTGGATTCCTCAGCACCACATAAGCAAAAAGAAAAAGCTGGAAGTGGCGCTGTGGCTCAAATGGTAGAGCGCTAGCCTTGAGTTGAAGAGCTGAGGGACAGCGCCCAGGCCCAGAGTTCAGGCCCTACGATCAGACCCCCCCCCCAAAAAAAAAAGAAAAAGAAATGGAAAGATGTTTAAATTTTACTCAAGGTCAAGAAAAGCCACAGGAGGTTTTTTGTTTTGTTTTGTTTTTACAAAATGACAGTATGATCTGATCTTAGATTCAGAAAATGTAGTGGTCAAGCCTGCAACTCATGCCTTTAATTCTAGCTAGTAGAGAGGCAGAGATCAGGTTCCTCATTCAGCCAACCCAATTCTTAAAAATAAGCCGAGCAAAAAGGGAGATTTTTTGGCCGAAGCAGATTTGCTCGTGTGCAAGTTCCCTGTGTTCAAATCTCAAAGAAAAAAAAGTGCCCTATACTCAATACAATAGGATGCCCAAGTTTTAGTACTAGTGAGAGAATGTAAAATCTCTCGTGAATTTTTTTTAGATTACAAGTTGAAACAACATTTTGGAATTACTGAGTTAAGTGTATAATTAAAGAGTAATTTTATTTTTATTTGCAATATAGATAGCCTATTAAAAATAGGTGATCTGTGGAAGTTAGGTCTAAATTATAAACATATTATACACACACACACACACACACACACACCAGACTTAAAATTACTTATGTGGCGTGGACTGTATTTCAAACTGGGACCCAGCAGGCAAGCCGGATTTTGCACTTGGTAGGTTTTTAAAAAGAGGTAATCGAGTAAGAACAGCACCACGAACGTGGTATTCAGGTAAGGGGTAGGTTTATTCAGTAGACCTGCTGGGACCAGGCCAGGTTGGCACTCCATGCGGCTGGCAAAAGACCTGGGAAAGAGCTGAGAAAGAGGTAGAAAAGACAAGAGAGAGCTGGGAAAGAGAGCTGGGAAAGAAAGCTAGAAAAGAGAAGAGAGAGCTGGGAAAAAGAGCTAGAAAAGAGGGTGTCTGGGTCTGGGCTAGGCCTTAACTAGGGTATGGGCGGAGAAAGGTGTGGCCACATCAAATTCAGATGTGACCTCAGCGGATGCAGATGTGACCTCTTCCAGTTGCCTAGGTAATGCAGGTACTGGGTAGAGACTTTGCTGCGAGGAGGGTGGAGTCTGCTTGCCATCCAGGAGCGGACTTTTACATTCCAGCCTTTTAATAATCATGGAATAGGGCGGGGATTCTCTGTGGCTACTTCCTGCTGACAAGGGGCATAGCCAATAGAAGTAAAAGGCTGGAATTTGGTCCCCTCTCAGAGAAGGCAGTGAGCTGCAGCTGTCCCTTGGTGGCGTGAGTCCTTAGATGAAGTCTGGAGAAGTCTCCTGAGGCATTGAGGCGCTGGAAAAAAAATACTAGAGAGCAAATAAATGGCAAGAGGAAGGAATGGGGCTGAAAAATGTTGGTAGAAATGTCCCTAGCTACTTCTGACATCTGGCGACCAGGGAGAGGAGAAGTCAGGTGACCAAGGCAAGAATATAAATTCCTGTTCAGTTAATAGGTAGACAGGTACAGACACTGGATGGGCAGGCTTCTTACTTCTACTGACCTCCGGCTCTGGTCAGTTTTGAAAGGGCAGGCACAAAGTGGCTGATGTGCCATCATCTCCCTCCTCCTCTCCATGGTCCCTTGTCCCCAGGCTGGCTGAGTCTAGGTGCTGGTCGCTGCTAACAGCACTCAGGAGTCTGGCCTGCCTCCGAGTTCGGCCTAGAGTCCCCGGCTTCCCAGTGGACCGGGCCTGCCCGCAGGGTGAAGCCTTGAGTGTCGAGCAGCACCCGTGGGCTCCCAGAGGACCCAGTCCCGGAGCGCCCCCTCGGCCGCTCCTCGGCTTTCCTCCTCCGGGGGGTTGCGGTAGCAGGAGGGCGTGAAAGCTTCCCATTAACGACACCTCGGTAAAGCCATACACTTCCGGGGCGTGGCCACCGTCGGAGAGGCGGGACTTCCGGTAGGGCTAGCACTACCTTCGGACGCGTACCGGAAGCTCCCTCAGTGAGAGTCCGGAAGCCGCTGCGCGCGGGTCTCTTCGTGGCTCCTGAGGCGGCCGGGGGCGCCGGGGTCTCGCGGGGTTGGAACGCCGGAATCTGGGCTCGGTGGCCTTGATTATTTCCCGCCCCCCCCCCGGCCTGGCCATGGCGACGTACACGTGTATCACCTGCCGGGTGGCGTTCCGCGACGCGGAGCTGCAGCGGGCCCATTACAAGACGGACTGGCACCGCTACAACCTGCGGCGCAAGGTGGCGGGCATGGCGCCCGTGACGGCCGAGGGCTTCCAGGAGCGCGTGCAGGCGCAGCGCGCCGGGGCGGCGGCCGAGGCCCGCGGCCCGGCCACCTACTGCACGGTCTGCAGCAAGAAGTTCGCCTCCTTCAACGCCTACGAGAACCACCTCCGGTCGCGGCGGCACGTGGAGCTGGAGAGGCGGGCGGTGCAGGCCGTGAGCCGCAGGGTGGAGATGATGAACGAGAAGAACCTGGAGAAGGGCCTGGGCGCCGACAGCGTGGACAAGGATGCCCTGAACGCCGCCATCCAGCAGGCCATCAAGGCACAGCCGTCCACGTCCCCCAGGAAGGCGCCCCCGGCGCCCCTCGAGTCCGCCAGTGCCGTGGCGGCGGCCGCCGGGGCCCGCGGGACCCACGGTCGAGACCCGGCGGAGAAACCGCCCCGGCTCCAGTGGTTTGAGCAGCAGGCGAAAAAGCTGGCCAGGCAGCAGGGCGAGGAGAGCGGGGAGGAGGGGGACCTGGACGCCGAAGGTGAGGGGCCCGTCCGGGGGAGAAGGGGGCTGCTAACTGGCTCCTAAGTTTCGGGAAGCTTCGTCTTCCAGGCTTACACTCCAGTTTAAATTACTGTTGTCGTTTGTTGTGTTATGGCTAGGGACCACACCTAGCCGCGTGCGTGCGAGGCAGCGCTCCCCGCCCCTCAGCTACGTACGTCGCCAGCCTTTTATACTTTATTTTATATGTGGAGACTGGTCTTCAGTTGCACACATTGGCTTAGATCTTTCAGTCTTCCTGTCTCAGCCTCCCAACCTGAGATTCCTGGCCTGGACCACTACCTCCACTGACAGGGCTTTTGGTTGTGGTTTGTTTTTGCTTGGTTGTTTCTGGTGATACTGGGAGTTGAACTCAGGACTTGGGGCGTGCTAGGCTGGTACTCTGCTGCTGTGGAGTGCCTCGAGAGCCACTGTGAGGGTGGTTTAAGTGCTTTCTGAAGTGCCTTTTCCACATGGGAATCATAATTTCGGCTGTTTGGTTCCATGTTGTAGATTCAGTGTCTACAACCTTATCTGAAAAGAGACTAGGTACTGGGACAATACGGTAAAGACTAATTGTGGCTTTTGGCTTTTGGCTTGTGCTAGGATGACGTGTGTGCTGTTGGCCTACATCTGTTATAGATTGTGCATCTAGGGGGCTTTCCATTGTATAGGAACCTGCCCTCGTTGGCTTTATGACCTATTTATTACTTTGATCACCCCATATCCTGTTAGCACTGATAATGTATGTGTTGATATCTTAATTCATTTGTACTTCTATGACAAAATGCCCAAAGTTGTTCTTTTTTTGGGGGGGGGTCCGGTCGTGGGGCCTGAACTCTGGGCCTGGGCGCTGTCTCTCAGCTCTTCAGCTCAAGGCTAGCACTCTACCACTTGAGCCACAGCGCCACTGCTGGCTTTTTTCTTTTTGCTTATGTGGTGCTGAGGAATCGAACCCCGGGCCTCAGGCATGCAAGGCAACCGTTCTACCACTGAGCCACCTTCCCAGCCCCATGCCCAAAGTTTTAGAGGATGAGACGTTGAAAAAAATCAGGATACTGGTATATTCAGTGTCTGGCAGGGTATAATCCATAGTGAAGTTTTCTCATGATCTGTTCTCATGATGGGAAAGGCAGAAAAGTGACAAGGGGTTGTCATCCCATGGAGAAGGAACAAACAGCAAAAATCGGGCTTGTTAGTTCTCTCAAACACTTCTTAATCCATTCTTGAGGACAGAGCCCTCATGACTTCTTAGACATCTTACCAGTTAATTTTGTCTCAATAGGGGTATCAGCATGGAAGGGAACATACGTTTAAACTTAAGAACATATATTACATGAACATGTAGCACATATTTGAACACCACCATGCACATTCATAGAAATATTCCTGTGAAATGTTAGAGATGGTTAAAGTATATGAAAATAGAGTATATAAAAATAGGAGATCACTGGAATCCCACACTGGGTGGAGTGTACAGAGTTTTACTGTGCAAGAGTTTTCTGTGTACTTGAAATTAAAGATTAAGGAGTTTCTTAGCTGTAGAAACATTTCTGTGGTTAATAACCAGCTGCATTTGAGATCTTGAAAAGATTTGTTTTCAGGGGGATGTCATTGGTACCATTTCCACCTGCATGTAGTACCCTGCCACTTCATAGGAATCACTTTGGTGTCTTTAACTGTGGTTACTACTTTACATAAATTAACTTTGCTTTTTGAAACTTTGGCTTGAAGACTGGGAAGACATTGATTCTGACGAGGACTTGGAATGTGAAGATTCTGAAGTGATGGATGAGGAGGAGGAGCAGGATGTGGAGGAGGAGGAGGAGGCTGGTGAAGGCCCATCCCTTGGTGCCATCCCAATAACGGACTGCTTGTTTTGTCCCCATCATTCAAGCTCTCTCATGAAGAATGTGGCTCATATGACTAAAGTCCACAGCTTCTTTATTCCAGATATAGAATATCTTTCAGACCTTAAGGGACTGATTAAATATTTGGGTAAGTATAATGCTAATGTCTTCCTCACTCATCCCTGCCCTCCAGCAATACTGGAGTTTGAACTCAGGCCTTGTGCTTGTCCAGTTGTGTGACTGAGCTTCTGTCTACCTATTTTATGTTTTCCATTTGTAGTTGTGGTAACAGGTATGTACTACCATGCCTGCCCAGCTGTGCAGATGGAGTCTTAGACTTTGCTTCCTAGAATAGCCTGAAACCCCAATACTCCCAGACTCTCAGCCTCCTGTGTAATTGGGATGACAGTTATCACTGCACCCAGCTATTGGTTGAAAGGGAGTCTCCTGTATGCCTGGCTGGCCCTGAACCTTGATCCTCTCATCTCAGCTTTTTATATAGGATTATAGGTGTGAGCCACTGGGGCTTACCTAGTTTTACTTTTAATGAGGAAATACCATGTTACTGGGGCTGGGGACAATTAAATTAGTCTTAAGAAAATATTTTTGTTTTTCTTTTCAATCTTTGATTTAATAATTTGCTTACTTTGTGAAAACAAACTTTTTTTGAGTTGGAGAGAGAGATGCTCAGACTCAGGGTAGCTGCACATACTTTAAACTTCTTCTTTTTTTTTTTTTTTTTTAGCAGGGTCTTACAATTGTCTATAGCCCCAGCTAGCCTGAGACTCATCATATAGCACAAGCTGGTCCTAAACTTCTTTTTTTTTTTTTTTTTTTTTTCTTAAATGATTTGACCAGGAGAGAAAGTTGGAGTTGGCAAGATTTGCTTGTGGTGCAATGAGAAAGGGAAATCCTTTTACTCCACAGAAGCAGTACAGGCACATATGAATGACAAAAGCCATTGCAAGCTCTTCACAGATGGTGATGCTGCTTTGGAATTTGCAGACTTTTATGATTTTAGGTAAGTTGAGGTTTGGCGAAATGACTTGATGACTTATTTTCATTGAAGTACAATATGTACACTAAATTTTTAACAACCCTTATAATAGCTCTCTATGAGCCAAGAACTTAGTTTAACACAACTAGGAAAGAGAAGAGCTTGGGTTCAGATGAAGTCTGTTTGACTGGTGGTTAGAAGGTTATCAATTTTGCCACTTAACCTAGTGAACCGAGAGTGAAAATTAGAATTCATGTTTTGGATTTCCTGAGACTTTGAGTCACAAGCTGTTTTCTAAAGGGATTGTGATGGTTGCTAAGCTTGGCCTGATCCTGTCATTTGGTGGGAGATTATTCCCTAGATGATTTCACTAGAATCTTAAACAGTTCATACATTAGGCAGCAAATGTATTAGTGCTCATGAACAACTAATTCCTATTGTCAAAGTTGCTGTGATGTAACGTAAGAGATGAGTAAATGCGTATAATTACCAGCCAAGTATGTATAGCCCAAGTTGTACAGATGTTTAGAAAAGTTTGAGTCTTTCAAAGCCTCTCTTTACGGTTTTTTTTTTTTTGGTCGGATGTGGGGCTTGAACTCTGCTTGGGCGCTGTCCCTAAGCTCTTCAGCTCAAGGCTACTGCTCTACCACCTGAGCCACAGCACCACTTCCCTCAAAGCCTCTTTTATTTTCACAGTGACTGCTCACTTTTTCAGTTGAGAGCTTGGGTCTGTCTTATTTAGGTGGTTAGAGGTGGTGGCAGTACAGAAGATGAATTGTGTCTTTAGGAGGTGGAAAGCATCCTTCTGGCAATAAATTGTATTTTTTCATGTCCAGTGTCCTGTCAGACAGGAGTGTTTTTTTTATACAACTTTTATTATCATGCATTACTTGTGCATATAATTTCATATATACATACAGTGTATCTCAACCAGACTCAACCCTTTATCACTCTTCCTTACCCACCTCCCTTTTCTAAAACAATTTCAGTTTTTTTGCTGTTCTTATATATGTAAGGAAACAATTTCAAAGTCCTCATATACCCTTTCCTTTTCTGTTTTCTCCTTCTACTGATGCCCACCCCCAAATAGAACCTGTTTTACTTTCTTGTCACTGTTTTGTTTTTTTTTTAATCTTTAAGTAGGTGTACAAGGGGTTTCAATTCCACAGGTCAGTTTGTAAACATAATGCATCTGATCAATGTCCCCCATCCTTGGATCTCTTCCAACTCTACCCATCCCCTCAGGTTACCTGGTTCCAGTGTTAATGACCTTTTGACTGATGTGTTCCAATCAGAAGTGGTCACAACAAGCACCACAGGCTAACTCCTAGCTGGCTTGGCATGTTGGCAGTATCGCGTGTGACCTCTCAGTCTACATCCTTTCCCTATGCATTCAGGTTTCTGCCTTTCTCATAATTTCCATTATTTGTGTAGACTCATGACTCCCAAGTTAATGTCCTAAGTATAGTAGTCTTCTTCTCCAGGCATACATACCAAGCTCTCCTTGCCATTTTGGTACTATTTCTAAGTAAATTGTTATCCTGTCCTTCTAATTCAAACACCTCAAAAGTCTCAAAGCTAGGCAAAAGGATTCTGACATAAAAGTCCTATGAGTTCTGGCCTTGCCATGGTCCTGGTGTTTTCAACTGTTTGTTCCTCATGATTGTAATATCCCAGGACCTTTGTACTTCCTGTTGTCTTTGTGTATAACCTTTGTTCAGATTACTCATATGAAATTTATCCCCTCCTTTCCTGCAGGGCTTGGCATGTTACCCACTGTGACTTTCAAATTTTCATAAAATTGCAATAACTTCCTAATCTTGTTTATTCTTTCATTTGTCCTTATAACGCTTACTGTCATTTCAACTTTATGTATTATTTCTAGTCTCTTAAAATCTAGATGGCTTAGGTCTTTTTGTTACTGTTATTATTGTTCACTGTGTTGCTCAGATTGTTAGTTTGAATTAATATTTATAACTAATTCGAACCAAGAAGTGGATTTCCCTGTATCCAAATGAAGATTTGTTATGTAGACTTAGAGGTTTTTTTTGGGGGGGGCTCCTAGAAATGAGAAATGGAATGAGCCTTTATAAAAGAGAATAATAAATTATTTAATTACCTTGAAAGCAAAACTTGCTAATGCTCAGTGAAGAAAACTTGGAAAATAGAAAACCTTATTGAGTTTGAACTGTTCTAATAAATACCTTTATGGATTCGTTGAGTTAAAAATTATTTATAATTCCACCCTTACTCCCAAGATAACTGTTAACTTATTTGAAAAATATCCAGATAAGAAAGAGAAGATTAATGATACCTAGACATTTTTCAAGTGTATTTCTCTAAATGATCCTTTCTTTCTCTAAGAATAACTACTGTTAGAATTACATAGATCAGTTTTTTGGGCCTTTTATAAAAACGTGTACTCTGAATCTGATTTCCTTTTCTTAGCTTTATGTTTGTGAGACTTATCCATACTGCTTAGTACAGTTTTAGAAAATTCTCATTGTTAGAGTATTTTAGTTGTGTCTAGTTTTGAACTGTTAGAAATAATGCTGCTCTGTCATTCTAGAGTCTTCTGGCAAACATACATTCTCTTGTGTAAGAATGCATTTAGGAGCTAGACCAGAGGATATGCATCTATTCAAATTTTAAAGATGTTGTCTTGTGGTTTTCCAGAGTTGTTTTCTGAAATTCTCCTTTAAGGGAGAGTTTTTCATTTTAGCTGCTTTGGTAGGTCTGTCTTAAAATGACTAATGTAATTAAGAGCCTTTTTGTGTTTTGATTGGTCACTTGGAAATCTTTTTGTGAAGTATCTAATCTAGTATTTTATCTGTTTTTTTCTATTGAGTTATGTGGCTGTTAATATTTTATTGTACATTTTTTTCAGTTATTGGTCACCAGTATATATAAATATGAATTTATGAACAGTTTTAGTTACATATAAATTCTTACTAGAATTGCATTGTCCAATATGGTAATTACTGGATAGCTATTTTAATGAGCTAAAAGAGAAATTAAAATTATAGTTTTTCAATCAGTTTTAGAAGTTCAGTGCTAGAAGCTCCTGTGTCTATGACACATAGAACATTGTTGTAATCATAGAGTTCTATTGGGAGAATTGTTCTAGAACTTGTTTTTATAATGGTTCATTTTATCACATGTGTATGTCTAGATCTGTGTTCTCTTAGAACCTTAGAAACAAATAAGAAAAATTATTAGTGTCACTTCCTTATTTTTATTACAGAGAAATGCTGGCAAGTTGCTTTCTCCACCAAACCTTTCAGCTGGCAATCTCTGCAGCTGACTTTCAGGTAGTTAGTGGGTATGCCACATGTGCAAATGCAACTTGAATGAGGTATTGCATAAATGCCCCTTCTTACTGTTCTAGGAGTAGCTACCCAGATCACAAGCAAGGAGAGGACCCTGATGAGGCTGAGGAATTGCCTTCAGATAAGAATTTAGAATATGATGATGAAACTATGGAATTGATCCTGCCTTCTGGTAAGTGTATCTGTCCAAGCAAAATAGCTTGATGTTAACGGACTGTGAAGAAGTTACCTGCTATGCTGAAGGAATAGAATGGAATGTATTTGTTCTTTTGTTTGTTTGTTTGTTTTTTTTGGGGTCCGGTCGTGGGGCCTGAACTCTGGGCCCTGAACTCTGCTGTCCCTCAGCTCTTCAGCTCAAGGCTAGCACTCTACCACTTGAGCCACAGCGCCACTTCCGGCTTTTTTTTTCTGCTTATGTGGTGCTGAGGAATTGAACCCAGGGTCTCATGCATGCAAGGCAAGCATTCTACCACTGAGCCAACTTCCCAGCCTGTATTTGTTGTTATGTATATAAGATAACACATTTAAGTTAGCTGTTTTGTTTAATTTGGATCAACTTTTTTTTTTAAACTAATTTTTTTTAAACTAATTTCTCTTACAATTCAGATTAGCCATTCCTTTGTCTTCTTTTGGGTCTTTTCTAGGTTTCTCTTATTAATCTTGACTTTTATTCGTTGGACTGATACCTATGGTTTCCAAATAGTAGACTAGTAATCTGGCATGTGCATACCTGGCAGACACTCCTGCATTTCTGTCTGTGTTCTAGTTGAAGGGGAAGCCAGGAATTTTAATTCTGCCTTTTGTGAGGAATAGGACTTGGTGGGAATTTACTCTAGGTATGAGATGGAGAATAACCGTGAATATGAGAAATATCCATTGTATATTGTTTGGGAAAAAGGAATTGTATCTAGCTGGTAATGGAGAATGTGAAGTTAAAGGGAATGGAGTGATAGAGATGATAATAAAATCCTAATAATGCCTAGAATTTACTCAGCAGGTTTTGTAGCAAGTCTGTGAGAGAGATTCTGTCATCCTCACAGGACACAGGAATCAATCTTTCAGGAATTGAGTAACTTACGGAAGTCACATACCAAGCCTGTTTTCCACTTCTCTGTTGTGGTGGGGCAGGAGCAGCACACCTGCCAGGGAAGTTGTGTGTGGTTAAGGAGCAAGCTTTCAGTATTGTTTTCCATGCCATCTTTAGTCAAAATGATAACTGTTTAAGGCTCAAGGGCAACTTGAGGGTATGGTTGTAGAAGAAGATGGCAGGCAGAATCTGTCTTAAAGAATCTTCCTACAGTGATACTTTATTGTAGTGTAGCATTGCTAGTAAGAACCTGAATATAATCATAAAAAATCTCTAGAATTCTGTTATAAATACATAATAGGACAAGAGCATCTGTGTCAGCAGTCAGCCAATTAAGAACTGAGGATATTCAGGGGGAAGAATTGCATTTGTATTGAACACACTTTTTCTTGGCATTTCTGAAAGAAAGTATAGCAAATGTGTTGCACTAAATTTGTGTTACAAGCAATCTAGAGATGAAATAAATAATACTGGAGGATATGTGTAGGTTATATGCAAGTACTATACCATATTATCTTGAGTACCTACGTGTATTTGATTGTAGAATAAAGTAACAACATACCTTAAAGTAAGCTGAATGAAATAAGTAGTATCTGATGTGGAAGAGTAATTCATATTTACTTCGTTTTACATCTACTTTAGCATCTATTACAAAAACACTCATAATAACAAGCATGTCCTATTTAAGAAGTATAAAGTATTTAAGAACTGTTTTCATCTGGACATTTTGAAGGGGAGGGGGCTGTTGTTACTGGGCTTGAGCTCAGGGTCTAGAAGCTGTCCCTTGGCTCTTTCACCCAAAGCTGGTGCTCTGTCACTTGAGCTACAACTCTGCTTCTGGCTTATTGGTGGTAATTTTGAGATGAACTTTCCTACCCAGTCTGGCTTTGAACCATGATCCTCAGATCTTAGCCTCTTGAATAGGTAGGATTACAGGTGTGAACCACCAGTGTAAGGCTTTGGACTTAAAATTTTTGAACCTTAAAAATAATCATCAGCTATAGAGAAAACATTTTCCTAAGGTGACTGGTTTCTCTAAGGTTAGTCCAAGTCCCGAAATGGGTATCTTTTTGGACAACCATTTCTTATCCCACATTCAGATGATTTTACAAGTTCTTAAGTGTCTTTGGAATATTTTTTTGTTTTCTCTTTATCCATTGTTTGTGTCACCAGTATAGTTCAGTCTGGTTTCCACCAGAACCTTCTTTCTAAAAACTCAGTATATTTTCTTTTCACATTAGAGTTCTGGCAGCAGGAGCCATTGCCTCCAGGGTAACTTGAGTTTCTCTAGCCTCTGGTCCTTCAGATGCCTCATGCTAGACCTTTCTTTACCCTCTTGTAGTCCCATGGGTCTTTCCATGTGTGATGCCTTCAACTCTGTAAGGCTCACTTTGAGTTCACTTCTCAGGGGAGTCTTTAACCTTCCTCTACTGTCTATTTGCTGAGTGGTGGAGGTATTCTCTGCTCCCAGGACACTTGCATGTCTGCCAAAGCTTTCACCTTGAAATTGTTGGCTTGCTTATCTGTCTTTCCCCATTACCTTAAAACTTGGAATATAGTAACTGTACATATTTATGGGATTCATTATGACATACAGTACATAATGATGCCATCAGAGTAGCTGTTTTTTACTTCAGATATCTTTAAGTTGGGAGCACCAAGTTTTGAAATAATTGTTGTCAACCATAGTTACCCTACTGTTACCATTAAAAGTTACTCCTCATCTCCAACTTTCCATTGCGTTCATGTTTCTTCTGGGTTCTCAGATACATAAGAACCAGATAAATGTTATTTACTCTGAAGGTAGTGGCAATTTTAAAAAGGTGAAGTTGATTTCCTTGGGCCTGAAGTAATAAAGGAAATAAAGGAAAAGGCAAGCAGTGGGTCATGGTGATGATTTAGAACCATATTTGTCTGTATTAATGTCTTGGTCCGTGAAGAAAATTGCTTTGCCTTTGTGACATCTACTCAAAGAAGAAATTAGCTGAGATGAGCTGGAAAATATGTATATGTATTTATAGATTTTGGGTTTCCTTGCTCACAGTTATAGGTCTAGTTACTAGTCATGGATTTAAAGTACATGATAACTCAGGCTACTCTGACATAGTCTTGGGAGCAGTGAAGTAATTGCCTTGGTATTAAGGATACTACAGATGATATACTTTTATACCAACTGTCTTGGGAAAGAAATTTGACTAACAGAGACTCTGAAACGCAAAACTTTTTTTTTTTTAGTCTTTTTAAATTGTGAAAATACTGTACAGAGGGGTTACAATTACATGGGCAAGATAATGAGTACATTTCTTATCAAGCATTGTAGCCTCCTCCTTTGTTTCCCCTTCCCATCCCTTCCCACCTCCCCCCCCCCCACCATCCTCTCCGCCCCCCCACCAAAGTTTTAAAGTTCATTTTCGACATAACAACTTGTACATCTCATTGTTGCAATGGGTCCACCTGTATCCCTATATAAACGATTTGTGAAACCCAAAACTTCTTACTAGACTGTGTCCATTTTTTTTCCTGTGAGTGCTTATCCTTTTTATAGGGAAAGGCCATAATTTATTGAAGTCATATGTGACCTAGAGAAGATGGAGAGCCACTGGTAAGCGCATCTAAATACAAATCACAGTTGTAACGTGACTATTCAGTAGGAACAAAACAGGTTTGTAAGTCCATCAAAAATCACCAGTATCCTGAAAATTCTTCCATCTAGATTGACAAAAGTGCTTTTAATTTGTCTTGTACTTCTCTCTCAGATTTTAATAACAATGTATGCTTTAATAACAATGTAGTCTTGTATACAGTGAGATTTGGTACTTAATTGGTTTGCTTCTGTGCCTCAGTACTGTTTTCATGGCTTTTGTAGCAACCCTAAGAAAATGAGGATCTTTGCACACTACAAAAATGAGTCAGCTGTTTATCTCTGAACAAATTTACCATTCAGAAACCTCTTTGAATATGCTTGAAGCAAACGTGGGAAGGATTTTATATAGAGCTTAGTAATATTTAGTCATCTCTGCTGTCTTATTTAAGCTGGTTTCAGAGGAGATAGAATACCTTAAATCTAGTTCTTCAGTAAAATTAGTAGTGAGATAATTCCCAAAACCAATGACAAAATGTATCCAGCAGAGGGCACTATGAGCATTTGTTCTCTTCATTGCTCTTCAGTTCATCTGGAGGAACCTGGGTGTGAAAGACACATTCATTAAGCTTCTGTCTGGCTAGTTAGATGAAACTGCTGCTGGATCTACAAGAAATACATAGGTAATCTTCTTAGGAAAATTGCCTTTGGAGATTGTCTTTTCTACTATGCAGGTATAATGAGTTGCATAGCTGTTTGTTCAGCAGAAGTGGGCAGTTTTGTAAGCAGTGTGTTTCACCGTAACTCAGACATAACCAGTATGTTATTTATTGAGCAGTCATACTTTGTTTTCCTTGATGAGGGCCTTCAGGTTAAGCTGTTCTGAGAACCTACAGCTGTCATTGACATGGCAAGAAAAGCTCTAAACTGTGTTTACACTTCTTTTCTGCCAACTATTTGAAACTGTCAGGTGTATTTTCAAATGTTGCTTAAAAATACTCATCTTGATTTATTATATACACATTTATTGATTGGGGGATAATTATCGTTGCAAACCTAGAACTTCTTGCCCTAATACTGTAAGTAGAAAATCTTAATAATTGCTGGAGTTTCCTGCTAGGACCATTATGGCTGAGGCCTTCCCATTAGCTTCATCACACTTGTTTTTTGTGATCCTGGAGATTTGTTAACTGTTAGCCTTCCAGAACAGTCAAGCTCAGGGGAACTAATTTTCATCAGTACTAACATCCTAGGACTGTGTCTTTGATTTTTTTTTTTGGGTCTGGTAGTGGGGCCTGAACTCTGGGCCTGGGCGCTGTCCCTCAGCTCTTCAGTTCAAGGCTAGCGCTCTACCACTTGAGCCACAGCGCCACCTCCGGCTTTTTTTTTCTTTTTTCTTTTGCTTATGTGGTGCTGAGGAATCGAACCCAGGGCCTCAGGCATGCAAGCCAAGTGCTCTACCACTGAGCCAACTTCCCAGCCCCCCTGTGTCTTTGATTTTGAAAATTTTTTTGTCATCTCTTGAAGTGTGATCTCAGTCTATTGAGTAACTGCCCTCCTATGTCTATAGCTAGCTAACAAATTATTTACCAGGTGTTTTATCACATGGAGGCACTTAAAATAATCTGATCACATCACTTTTTCATGCAGATTAATTTCATGCTTGACCCTAAAAGCAAACAGCCTTTCATAACAATTATAGTATTACTGTTCATTATATTAACACAAAAGATTTAAGGTATGCAAATGTAAAAAAAAAAACTTGACTAGGAATGACGTATTTCTCACTTTCGTGGGAATAACTGTCTTTAAGTGTCTTGCATGCATTCTGTTAAATATCAACATGTTTATGTCCAGGAAGATTTAATTGCTATGTCCTAAATCTTGGGGAAACGTTCATGCTTAGCCCCTGAAGCAATGTTGAGGGCTACCTTTTGGGAACTGCTGGTGTGAAGGAGCCTGGACTTAGGCTTTTCAGCTTCATCTGGTATTGACTAGGCATGGTAGTTGGAATTTTCCTATGAAGGGGCAGAGTTTAGACTTTATATACCCTTTTGTCTCTGAAGCAGCTACTCAGCTTTCCTTTGTAGCATGAATGCATCTAAGATAATTTCTGCATGGGCAAGTGTGGATATATTCCAATAAAACTTACAAGCAGACTGGTTGGCTGGATCTGGTTCTCCTGAAGTTTGCCATCCTATTGATTATTTGTATCAGATGTGCCTGCCTTTAAATAGGAACTTTGAATTATTCCTCTAGCAGTTATCTTCATTTGCACTGGATTTCTCTTAGCCCAGCTGCCACATTCTAAAGCATTGGATACCCACTATTTTTGTCCATTGAAGTATACATAACCCTTTTTTTTTTTTTACCTATTATGATTGATAATGGCTTCTGAGAATACAATGTTTAATGTATAATCATACATTGTAATGACATCAAAATACATTGGAAGTTAAAATTAGAAACACCTAACTAGGTAGGGCAGCTCATGCCTATAATCCCTTTACTCAGAACTCGGAGACAGGAAGATCAACAGTTTGAAGTCAGCCAAGTGTGAACAGCAGGACTGGACTGTCTCAAAACAATTAAAAGTTGGAAATTCATTTCTGAAAGCCTAAATGTTTTGCAAGATTTTTCCAAAAAGCAAAAACTACAGGGTTCATCCTAATCATCTTTTAAAAGTTCACCAAGTGATTTATGTCATTTAGGAAGCAATAGAGAGCATTATTCAACTTTGCATTGTTGACAGTTTGGGCAAAATAATAATTTGTTGTTGGAGCTCTTTCAATGTTTAGTTGCATTTCTGGTCTCTAGCCACTAGATGCCAGTAGCACTCTAATTGTAACAACTTAAATGTCTCCATTGAGCTTGAAATATCTCCTGTGTGGTTAAAAATCACCCTTTTAGAGAATATTGCAATAGAGAATTTAAGTTGTGACATGTAGACTTAAAAATCAGGACTATTCTCTGCTTAATCTTCTATTTTTTAAAAATAATGTAAAATCCCTGTCTACATAGGCCTTTTTTAATGGAATTAGTAGGGCATGCCTTGGGAGGCACATTGCTATATGTAAGATGCTTAGTTTCTGTTAACAGTGACCTACCATTTTCCTCTCTAAGAATATCCTTGGCTTGTTCCTTCACACTTTTTTTCTAAAATGGCTGAGTCATCTTTTTTTAGTAATAAAACACTTATTTCTTCTGATGTATCCATTTTCCTGATGTGATTTGGGAAGCGTTACTTTATAATTCTGCCTTGAAAGAACTCTCCAACTTAGTGTTTAAATGCTGCTCTTTTGAAAAACAGGTGCCAGAGTGGGCCATCGTTCTTTGATGAGATACTACAAACAGCGATTTGGCTTGTCAAGAGCTGTAGCAGTTGCCAAAAATCAGAAGGCTGTGGGCAGGGTACTCCAGCAGTACAGAGCCCTAGGTTGGACTGGAAGCACAGGTATATCAATGTTTTTACCCATGGATGCCAGCCCAAGGACTTGCACTTCTAAAGGGACTTGGGTGGTGTTTGCATTTATCTTGTCCTTATGAGTCGTCTCTGGAGAAGACTGATGTCTTAGCTCTGGAGTTTCTATTACCACTTGATAGGTTTATGGCAATAAGTACAATACTGAATGACTTAAAAACTTCATATTCCTGGCACAGTAACTTAATCAATACCATGAACTAGTTGAGAAGATCACAGTCACAAAACGAATTGCTGGTCATCACAGGTAGAAATCCTGGAGGCTATCTGGAGGAATTTAAATAGTATGCCTCATGTCTAATAATTTGAGCTCTGGAGTCTAGCACAACTTGCAGTGGTGCAGATGAGTAATAGAATGAAGCTTTCTGTTTCTTCATTCTTACAATGGAAATAATAATGGCAATTGAATGTTGAATATCATAATGCTTACGTTAAGTTCATGCTGACAGTAAAGGTTAACTATTAGTTCCTTATTGCAAAATTTCTATACAAACTTTTGTAAAGATTCTGATGGATAAAGCTCTCAAATAGTGATGTGCCTGAAGTCTACTGGGAAGTAGATTTATAAAGTAGATTTATAAAGCTGGCTATCCTCAGATCCCCAGAGAGAGCCTCAATCCAACTAGCGCACAGTGGAGAGGAGAGAGGAGAACTTTCTCATGTCCAGCAAGCTATGGGCGCCCTAAATCCATCTTGAACACCTCTGTTCATGCACATACGGCTTCTTCACTGTGGATGCATATTGTAGGCTCTAAGCCCACTTGAGCTGTGCAGAGACTTTCATCATCTTAACTCTTGTCAGAAATTATTATCTGACTCAATTTGTAGTTTCTGCCTTTGTCCTCTAAGCTCAGTGAGTCCTGTAGTCCCTTCAAGATGATGAGAATTAAAAGATGCTCATAGGAGAATTGTGTTCTACTGTGCAACTCTCAGCTTCACAATAGACCCTTGAGGTTCATTGCTCGGAAACCTCAAGTTAGCATTTCTTCTTTAAGTATAAGAGCCTGCTTAACCCCAAACCAACTTTGGGATTCTTTGCAAAATTTGGACTTTGTCTGCCTACAAATAACAGAGCTTCGCCTCATTTCTTAACCTCCTTCCAACCGCAGGAGCGGCTCTTGTGCGAGAGCGGGACATGCAGTATGTCCAGCGGATGAAGTCAAAATGGATGCTGAAGACAGGAATGAAGAACAATGCCACCAAGCAGATGCACTTTAGGGCCCAAGTGAGATTCTGAGAGTCTGTGGGATCAAGCGATGCATCCCCTGCTCAGTTTCCTCCTCATCTGAGGGTGGAAGTTGAGTCATAGGATGAACCCTGTTGCTGCTACTTCATTTGTTCTGACCTAATAAAGAACGTCAGAATCAGACTGGTTTTCAAGTGTAATTTTTAACAGCGTTTAGCGTTTATGTGTAGGTAGTATGGATTTGCTTGGCTGTGGGACCTCTGCTACTTGCCAGCTGCCTTACTATCTCAGCTCTCAAAGGCTTCTGTGCTGTGGTATCATCATGTGAGAAGTATGAGAAGTTTGCCTACTCCAAAATTAGTTTAGCTTTCGGAATAATTACCACATTATGACAGTGGGACTATGTTATAAGGGCTTTGTGGCTTATGTCGGAACAACACTGAATGTCAGTTGTTAAATGTTTCATGGCTCAGGAACTGGTACTTATCTCTAGCACTTTCATTAAATCTAGACAGAGGTAAAGAAGAGAATGGCTTCCTGCAGTGGCTTTTTCTAGCAACACATAAAAATGACAGTGTTAGACATTCAGACCCGTTTTTAGGGTTGTCATTCTTTGAGCAGTTAGTTTAGGGGGGAAATAAACATAAACTGGATAGTATTTTAGAAAGATTGCCTCACAGTGAAATTCCTGAGGCGATTCTCAGTTTAAATAGTTAAGCACCAAGCATTGAAAATGAAGCTAGAATTCATTGAGCTAACTTATGGATTTTGGAAAAGTAGCTTGATTTTTAAAATGCATTTTTAAATTTTATTTATTTATTTTTGTCTCACAGGTTATGGTGGGGGCTAAATGAATCTGCCAAAGGACCTGTTGCTTATACAGTCACTGGCACTAAATCAGTACTTAAAGCATGTACTTAAAACATGTCACGTCAAGGTGATGGAGCTGCCCTAATGCTGGTAGCCAACCTTATCACCAGAGTGGATGTTATTCTTCAGAGTTGAGTTCATTACATATACCTCAGTGCACACATATTTAATCATACCTCACGTATCTAATAGAGGGCTTGTTTCAGTTTTGCTCCTCTGCCTTGTAGAAATATACAGTCTCTGCCTTGTAGAAATATACAGTCTAGACACATTCTTTAAGTCTCTGTCTTAGGAAATGGTGTCATGCTTTGCATATATATCTTTAATATGATACTGTGTTAGCTTTTCTCATTCTCAGTTTTCATTTCAGCATCTTTCACTCAACCATGTGGCTGTCTCTCCTTCGTGATGATGGTGCCCAATGTGATTGTGCTAGCATAGAGCTAATGACTTGGCTGTTCCCATGCCACATTATGATGTCAGCTCTGTACTGGTCACTTGGAGCTCGTTTATATGCTTCCTCATACTTTGTCATCTCTATTCACCTTTGGAGTGGGATGTGATGGCATTGTTGACTGACTTCTGAAATACCAGTACTGCCGCCTTTTGTTTTCTTGGTTACTTTCAACCTTCAGGAGACACCTTTGATCCATATCATTTTTGAAATTGTGTTTGTCTTTCCTCCGAGAGTCATCCCAGGACTGCAAGGCCTAGCAAGTTGCTTTGTCTGGCTTTAGCATCAGACTTGAAACCGGGGATGGCAAGTGAGAACATGACCTTTTGTTCCCTCTGTGTGCATGTTTCAGAGGCCCCAGGTGGCCTGGCTGATTGTTTGCACTTCCTATCTCCACTAGCTGCTGCATGACTGTACTCTTTACTGTGTGGTATGAGTTTGTGTTTTACTGAAGTACAGATAGTGCTATTTTGTAGACCAGGAGAGCTAACTTTTGAAGGAGGACAATAGAAGGAGGCTTGAGGTGATTCTTTCTGATGTTGCTGATACTGCCATAGGTGCGTGTAGGTCCTCAGCATTGTGCCTAGCAGAAGGAGGAGATGAGGCTGTAAAACTTTTAAGTCCATTAGATTTGTAGCAGCTATGAAAAAAGCTTACACTAAGTCCATAAATAAATTGACTCTATTGTTTACTTTGCTAAGTAAAGGAAGATGTCACCTTTTCTTGCCTAGAATGTGAACAAAATTTGCTCCCAACCAATTTAGGCTATTTGTGGATTCCTAATTGGTATACCTCCATCAACTTTGTCAGGTACAAGTGAGAGTCAAGGCATAATTCATCCTGAGGCAAAAATCCTCTTTAGCTGAGCCTTTGAGATCAAACAAGTTAATGTGCTTCAAACAGAAAGCACTGGATATGAATGGACATTTTCATCCCCAAAGGAAGAGCTGGGGATTGAAATAGCCATAGGTCCCAAGCAAGTCAAAAACGCAACAGAGAAGGAAACATTAAGTGACAAAGCTGAAGGATAATTCCCTTTGACTCTATATTTCGTAAACTTCTTCCCCTCCCCACTTTCCCCGCAGGTTTCCAGGTAGCCCTGCTCAGCTTTGTGGGCTTAGCTCACCAGTACGGCCGGTCTCATGCCTGCTGCTTGCCCAGGCTGTAGTTGCATGGTAGTGGCCCTCCCAAGTTCTGTAATATTTGAGGCTGCTTCACTCTTAGGGCTTCACAAGACATTCACCAGTGGGCACTTTGCCCCACTGGGTATTACCCCAGGAAGGATTCCCTCCTTGTGTCAGTCCCCAACCCCTTGTCTGTCTGTGATATCCTTTGAAATTGAAGTGGAAGCTGCCACGGCTCAACAGCTCTTGCATTCTTAATGCTTACAAGAATTAGTGTCATGTGCATGCTACTGAGACTGACAGCTTATACCTTCCAGAGTGTGGGCACAGAGCCGGAGGGGTGCTGAGCTGGAATTCAGGGAGCAGTCTTCAGATGGTGCCAGCAGAAAATGCTGATCCTCACAGGCTTCTTCTGTATGGAAATCTTGAGCTCAAGATCCTACCTTACCTCACAGGCCTCTTGGCAAATGCCTCAGGGTTTTTTTGTTTTGTTTTGTTTTGTTTTTGGTGTTGACTAGAACCTAGCTTTCTTTTGTGTTAGTTTCTAGCAAACAAACTAGTATTGCCTACAAACTTGGTTTTTCTTCCAGAGCACACTTGGTTAATCTTTACATGGACAAAGCTGAGAGTTGTCCAATTCTTCTCATTTTGCTTTCTTTTAATTATCAATTCCATCTTTAAATCATTTCTGTCTTATTTAATTGTAAGCATCCAAGAAAAATCATGCAGCACTTTGGATGCTTTGGTACTTAAATATTTCTTCTGTCAGATGTGCTAATTCATCACTGAAATTTCATCTTCCGTAAAGCCTTAGGGCATAGACAGAATTCATCCAAATTCTGTGCTACTTTATAACAAGGATGGATTTACGTAATCCCTAAGAAGATTTAAACTCTCCCTACAGCTCTTGTCTTCCCAGCTTTTACCAGAATTGCCCTTGATGCTCCATTTACAGCAATACAGGATTTTTTTAAAAACTTGTTCCTTCCAAATTCTTCCAGCCTCATCCAATTCCAAAACGTTTCAGGTATTTGTTATAGAAGTGGTCCCCCTTCTTAGGACCAATTTACTGTCTCAGTCTATTTTTTGTAGCTATAACAATATCATACACTTGGTAATGTGTAGAGAAATTGATTTCTCACACCTCTGGAGGCTAGGAAGTCCCAAATCAGGTGCCAGTACCTGGTAACACATTTGTTCCTATGCCATTCCATGATGGAAAGCAGAAGGTCAAGAGAGTGTGAGAGAGGGGGCTGAGCTCACTTTATAACAAACTCACTCTGTAAAAACAAACACAGCAACATCAATCCATTAATGAGGACCATGCTTTTGCAGAAGGTCCTATCTCCCAACACTGTTGTGTTGGTCTTCAAGTTTTCAATGCTCGAACTTTGGAGGACAAGCATCACCCTGTACTTGAGCATCAGTGGCTCCTACCTATAATCCTATCTACTCAGAAGGCTGGGATCTGAGGATCAGGGTTTGAAACCAGTCCAGGTAAGAGTCCATGAGGTTCTTATATCCAATTAACTACTTAGAAAAAGCCAGAAATGACTGTGGCTCAAATGGTAGAGCACTAGCCTTGAGCAGAAATCCTTCGAATTAGCAACCAGGCTTGAGTTCAACCCCTGGAATGGATGGACAGACAGTGTGTGGGCGCGCACACATACACAATATCAATCTCGACATAGAGTTTAACAACACAATTGGATTGCTATATCTGCTTTTGCATTCTATTTGTTGCATCAGAGGAGCACCATATTTAGAAATTCTTCTCTGTAGTGGGAGCCAGGTCTGGCTTTGCAAATCCCCTGCAGAGATCTCAGGACCTAAAAGACCCCTACCTTTTACTGTCACACAGACAACTTCCTGGTGGAAGACTCGGTGCTCCCTAAGGAGTTTTCTTCAAGTATGTCTCTGCCTACTGTGGAGGAATGAGGGCAGTGATCATCAGCCAGAGACTGGGGTGCCACCCTGTTTCTGCACTTGTAAGTTCTCAGATTCTGCCTCTAAAATACTTAACACTGTCATGTAGGAACATCGTCCACATCCCCCAGTCATGCTAAGGTGCCCAACAGAATATTCCTGGCCAAAGGTAGTTTTTCATTTCAGACCAGCTAATGTAATCAGGGGAAACAAAGAGGAGAAGCCAGAGGGAAAGGAAAGCAAGAGAGCAATGATGGATTCCCAAACTTTAAAACCCTTTCAATTCAACTTGAGCTTCTAGATGTTTAATGTGATGCATAAGTGGCATATGCCTGCATTGTTTTTTTCTAGAGAAGAACTATTTTACACCAAAGCCTTTAAATAGCCCCCTGCCAGTCCAAAAGGGATTGAGGCTGAAGGGTGGAATGAAACAAATGTGGCAGGCCTTAACTAATGCCATTGTACTAGCACCAAGCTAGGGCTTGTGACCACACTAGTTCATCTCATTCACTTAATCCTGTGAGCACAAAGCAGATAGATCTTAGGAGTCAAAACCATCCTTGCTTTGTTTTTGCCTTTCAGCAAAGCTTTACCAGACCCTAGTGTTGGAGTGGTGGCCTGGGGCATGGCTATTATTTGCCATTTAGAGCCTAAGCACTAGCGGAATTAGACATGTGTGTCTTTTTTCTTTTTTTCCTGGTCCTTGGGCTTGAACACAGGGTCTGGACTCTGTCCCTGAGACTCTGTGCTCAAGGCTAACACTCTACCACTTGAGCCACATTGCCACTTCTGGCTTTTCTTGAGTAGTTTAC